AAATCTGGAGGGTTCTTCGGGGCCCTTACCATTGCTCAGAGCATTTCTGTCACTTAGAGATGCTGTTAAGGACATGGACCTCGGATCAGACCTGAGTTTGAATGTCGGCTTCACCACCAAGTGCAGGACAGTTGGACGATTCTGAACCTTCCTTCCCTCCTGTAAATGGGAATATTGATGCCAAAGTCCGGGGTGGTTGTGAAGGTTACATGAGACATTGTGCAGGTTAACACGGCACTGGACATGTGATGGATGGTTGTTAGTGGCCATAACTTGTGGTACCAGCTAACTAGTAGTACCCAGCCTTGGACAGAAGGTAAGCTTTAAACTTAGGGAACAGATTTTGATTGTATGTGAATGGTTTAAGAAGTATCCAGCTATTAAAACACTGCAGAACCAGATTACACTGTTTAGTTACCTGTCCATCTGTGTTTATCCTTCCGTAATAAAAGTGGTCTTTGATGGAACCTGTCACCCTTAAATCGTTTTGGAGCAGTTTTACTGGCGGGAGATTTGTGTTTGAACCCCCTTACTGGTGCATTCCCTTTATAAATCTCTACTGCATGTCACGATGGTTCTCTTCGGTTTCTCTGATGCTCAGGAAAAGCTGCTAGGTAAATCTTTAAACTTTTGGTAAATAATTGAATCTTGAAAGCTACCCATTTACTCCAGATACCGGTGTGTGTTTACTTTAAATGTTTGATGAGAAAAACCTGATAGTGAACACCACCGACTCTCACGCACGAAGGACTACTTGGTCTGTTGCATTTTATGTGTGAAGGGCCAGTTAGCCTCCGTTAAGGTTTTCGGTTGATTGCTGTCTGCTCGTTCTTTGCATTTATGTTCAGGGAGCCTGTCCTGGGAGGGCCCAACACTGAGGCCAGCCCGTGTGCCTGTGACACACACTGTGTGTGGTGTGCACTGTGTGTCAGTCAGGCCTCTGGGCCGTTGTGTCTCGTTTGGGATCTTCCACTTGAAGAAAGTCAATTGTCTAGTTTGTCGTAAAAGTAGAAGTAAACCCAGTCATTTCAGCTATTTTAAGGAATAAGAATGCTTAGCTGAGAATAGATGAGACCTGGTTGCAGTTGTGCAGTGAGCTCTTGTGTCCTTTAGAAGAGGGTGGCACATGTTCAGGGTGGCTTCTGGTGGATGTAACAACCAGGACTGTCAACCAGGGTGCTGTGTGGAGCTTCTTGGTGGAAGGAGTTGGGTCCCTGTCGGCTGGGCGGATCCCAGAACTGGCAAGCAGGGGAGCACGTGGTGTATAGTTAGCTTGTCTTCGTCAGCTCCGGCTGCTGGAACACAGCGCCACAGACGGGAGGTGGTTAAACAACGGACATTTACTTCCCACAGTTCTGGAGGCTGGGAAGCCCAGGATCGAGGTGCCGGCAGGTTCAGCTCCTCCCAGGGCCCTCTTCCTGCTGGCCGACAGCCACCTCCTTGTGTCCTCGCGTGGGGACCATGCTCTGGTCTCTTCCTCCCTTATGAAGGACCTCAGTCCCGTCGTGGGACTCATGACCTCATCTAAACCTAACCACCTCCCGAAAGATCCCTCCTCCAAGTACTGTCACCCTGGCGGTTAGGGCTTCCACACAGGGATTTGGGGGGCAGTGCACGCTCAGTCCACAACAGTACTTAACCTTCCTGAGCCTCAGTTTCATTATCTTTAAAAATGTACCTGTAATTTCTATAAAGTGGTTCTGAGATGATGACATGTAAGCTCAAGGATCTGGTGCAGAGCAAGCTCTCAAAGACGTGGTTGCTGCTCTTTGATGAGTGTTGGCTGTACTTCAGAGAAATGCTGCAAGTGTTCTTGGTATTTGTTGAAAGACTGGACTGGATAAAATTTCTGGCTCTAAGAATCAGTAAATGCATCGTGATGTTTCCCCTCGTGCCCATGAGCCTGGAGACAGGGGGTGCCGCTCTGGGGCGTCCTTCCCGTCCCCACGGCCTCTCTGTGTGCACGGCTTTGCCACAGTCGCCATCTTTGCTTTTTGTCTGGATTTTCTTGTGGCTTCTCCTCACTCTCTGTTCTTGAATTCATTTCCCCTCCCCTCTTTTTTACTCATCATTCACTCATGAAATTTGATGAATATGAATATATGAATAATTTATAATGTGTATTATTTTGCTACAATTTAAAATCTTTATTTCAAAAGCCAGTGTCTTCAGGGGCTGTACCCCCACATGTGACTGGGTTACTTAACCATCCGTCTGTCCTGCCCCGTTTGGAGTCCCGCTTCCCCAGGCGTGGACCAGGGCAGGCTGGGGGCAAGGGCCTGAGTTTGTTCTCATCAGGCTTTATTACGGCTCACGCGGGGCTGGGTGTGTGGGAATAAAGTTCTGTGGTGTGAGGTTTGGCTTAAAGAGGAAGCTGTTTAGCCCAGCTCTTCCCCCCGCCTGCTTGGGGTGCCCCTCACCTCCCTGCTGGAGGCCCCAGGCCTCCCTTTACTTGGTTTTCCCCACCTTTGTGACACGAGGGGGCTGTTATGTCTGCCGAGAGAAGACCAACCGTTTGACAGCCTGTGTTTTTCTACATTTAGCAACTGGCACTTAGAAACAGACTTTCTTGTATGACAGCACATCTTTTAACCATGGTAATTAAAATCATCTCACATAGATGTAGTTGCACTTAATTATGGATTCTGTGCTCCAGTTGAATAAGCTTATTACACATTTAGTTTATAAGACTGTTTATGGCTGAATGTAGATGCTTAAAGTTACCGTTTTTCAGCTGCTTTTAAGAAAAGGCCTATATAATTTATTATGAATTTTTTAAGATTTGTAACAAAACTCATTTTAAAATTGCTGCCATCGTCCAACATAATACAGAGATTGATGACGAGGGTGCTGTTTGGTTAACGTACGTGACAAGACGGCAGAGAGCGTGTTGTGAACGTGTATTGCTTGCAAACTATGAACATCCCGTTGGACTGTTCTGGGTGGCTGGAAACCAGTAAGTGGGTGAAAAGACGAACTACTCAAGACTAAATTTAATTTCACTTCTGTTTTTGGAGGCATTCTTAACATATTAAAAAATTGTACACCGTGACCCCAAAAGTGAGGAACAGAAAGATGTTTATTCCCTTTTCCTCTAAATGTGTTGTAATGCATTTGTGTAAGACAGAATTTAGTGAGCTGTTCAGGTGGCACACGAGCACCTGAAAAGATGGTGGGCATCGCTAACCTTTGGGGAAATGCAAATTAGAACCGGGACCACTGCACACCTGTCGTCATGGCTAAAATTAATAAGACGAATTTTTAAAAATACGAGCTGTAATATGAATATCCTAATGAAACACTATTTCCACCTCACATGTGTTTCTTATTTTTTTCGACCCTTTCATTGACGGTTCGTTTGATCTTTCATTTATTCATTCAAGACATGGTCATCAAGCACTTCATATGAGCTTAACTTGGTCTCACTGTCGAGTTCAAATCAACAATTCTAAAACTGAAATCGTACCAACGTGCAGCTGTGTCAGAGCTGACCTCGTAAAGGACGCCTCTGGGTATCGTTACGTGGTAGTAAGGTTTGTGGCTGGTTTACGTCCTCAGAGCCAGCTCCTTCTGGAGGTGCAATCTGGGGCCTTGGTAGCATTAACTTTAAAATAGTCAAAACACGATCCAGCGTGAAGGTGCTGTGGCTGTGCTCCCTGGTGTAGAACTGACGGGCCCGGACTGCATATTCATCCGTGTGCAGGAGCAGAACAAAGTGAGGGGAGTCGGGGCGCTGGCCTGGGAGGGGCTGGTGAGCTGCCCTGCAGGCCACTGGGCTGGCAGGCCCCGAGTTTCCTGGGGACGGCATTCTTTCTTCTGTTTGGCTTTGGACTTAACTGACGAGTTAGGATGTGCTCTCTGGGAACTTTTCCGAACGTGTGACTTTGAGCTCAGGAGAGTTTTTGAGCTGGGTTAGAGAGACATCCGTGCCCATGGTGAATGACCTGCGCAGGCGTCTGTCAGGTCTCTGAGCCAGAGCCGTGGAGGGCATCTTGTTTGGGCTGTGTCCGTCCTGTCCCCAGGAGGAGGAGCTGTCCTCAGTTGTGCCTTGATGTACTGCTGGGGCGCCAGTGTCTAGTGAATGAAGTGTGGTATCAGTACCTGGAAATGAAATTCGAAATTAGGAGTGAAGGCGGCTGGTTTTTTCCGGACTAATGGAAGAGGTGGGGGCGCGGAGACATCTCCACTGGCCCTCGAAGTCTGCCGCGTGTTGTGCCCCCGTACTGGGGTCATGTAAAGCGGGCGGGGGCCCTCACCACCGTCTTTGACCCTTTCTGGAGGATCCTTTACAGCCTGGTGATCCTGACTTGAATAGTGAGTTGTGGTTAAGGAACAAGATTAAAACCCTTTCCTGTGCTTTGAACTTTATGCAACAGGAATAGATATTCTGTGAGTTGTGCTGAAGTATCGAAGGGATTTTCCCTAAAAGTAATACTGTAAGTAGCTTAGACCTGGCCTGGCTCATCGGAGTGTTATTTAATCTGGCCTGTCTCTGAACCGTGTTGTCCGTTCTGTAGAAAGCCCATCTCTCCCTCGTCTTCCGGCAGGAAAGGCGAGATTTCAGGTTCCTCCTGGGGTGATCTTCAGCCACTTTTCTGCTTGGCTTCTCAGGCAGAGTGCACACAGTTTCCCACCCGCAGCTGTCCTGGGCGGGCAGCAGTGGTGGTCTGGGTCCTCGGTGGGTTCCGAACTTGGGGGAAACCCCCGCTGGCAGCTGGCTCGGTCCGTGACAATGGAAAAGGAAAGTGAACTTGTGCCCGCCCGACCGGGACACCTCTGACACGAAGGCACGCAGTCTGGGGCTGTCGGTGTGTGGAACGTGCAGAGACCGTGTGAGCACAAGGCGGGCCGGAGGGGCCGGCGTGGGCGCGGTCGGTGTGATGTGCCGTCTGGGGCACAAGTGAGCGGAGCCGTTTTAGTCACTACAGGTGTTTTCTTTGTCGTCGTCATCAGACCCACAATTCAGTGTTAACATAGAGCTCTTTTCTTGTGTTCTGTAGTCTCAGACCATGAATTACGTGGGACAGCTGGCGGGGCAGGTGATCGTCACCGTGAAGGAGCTCTACAAGGGCATCAACCAGGCCACGCTGTCCGGCTGCATCGACGTGGTCGTGGTGCGGCAGCAGGACGGCTCCTTCCAGTGCTCACCGTTCCACGTGCGCTTCGGGAAGCTGGGCGTCCTGAGGTCCAAGGAGAAGGTGGTGAGTGAGCGCACGGCCTGTGCTCCCAGAGGGAGGGGCCAGGTGGGGCAGAGCAGGTCATTCCTGCGGGCCCTCCAGGCCTCTGTGTTTCTGTTTTAGTTTTTTTTTTTTTTTAATCTATGTGATGTTGAAGACAATGGTATGAGAAGTCAGCCTTTAATGTTGTGAAGTTGCTTCTCAGTTCAGAGAACCCTCCTGCAGGAGGCCTCGGGGGGAAAAGGTGAAAATCATTTATATATAAAATAATTCTATATGTTGCAACTCAGATGAGTCAAACAGAAAGTAGAGTTATAAAGGGGGAAATCAGATGTATTCAGCAGAAGTTCCTTTACCTTAGGCAGCACTTTAAAATACTTAGTGTGATGCCTTCAGACCAGTTGTGACTTGCTCAAGAATCCATTTGTCTAAATAAAACTAACTAATGCCAGTTTTGTGCGTTTGTTTTGCTGTAAAACCTGATTTGTAATCTAAATTTTATTGTAAATACCAGGACTTGTCCCCAGATCAGACTGAAATGCAAATCCCCAGGCTTTTATTTATTTTAGGGACGACTCACTCAGAAAGAAGGCATTTGTGTTGGTTTTCCCTTTTCCTCCATCCTCTTTCCTTCAGGTTGCGAGCAACTGGAAGGTTTGTTAGTATATCTGATGGCAGTCGTGTTAGAAAACTGAGCTGACAATAAGGCTCTGCAGGTTCCTAGTAGTGTTTTCCTCTCTATAGTCCCAGTGTCTACAAAACAGTAAAGGGAGACTCTGTCAGGGTTTTAAAGCCCACTGAAAGACCCACACCATTTTGTGGCCCAGAAGTACGTCTTAGAGGACCACCATCATAAGTGGAAAACACCTGTTTTCAGATTTTGGCTCTTTTACGTAGCTGATGTTACTCTTCAAAACAGGAATTTTCCTCTATTTTAGTTTGAAAGTGATTAGAGAGCCACGTTTCAGGGTGGCCGGGCTTGTGTGGTTCGGCCTCTGGTGAGTCCCCCTTTAGAAACCAGAAGCAGTTGTGATGTGCTGAGTGACTTAGGAACTTTTCATTGTGAAGCAGTGTTCAGCTGCAGCATAGCTTCTGTGGAATTCTTTCTTTCTTCCAGTAACAGTGGCCTATGGTACTTTCAGGCTGAAGCTGCTTTGGAGGAATTGGCAACAAACTGTTCATGCACTGAAATTTCCCATTAGTTGTGCGAGGATCTATCTGTAAAATGGTGTATGAGGCCTTTTTTTCCCCTCTCCCCACTGTGACCTGGGTTTTTGATCAGCAGATTGAGTAAGACTTCTGGCCTTCAAACAGGAGCCTGCAGGCTGGTGTATGTAAGCATTTGTGAATCTGTAAGTGGTAACCAGGCAGATGCGGTCTCTGCGTGCTGTTTGCCTCTAATTAAGAAAGTAATACAATTTCCGTGTGAGGCTACACAAATCGTTACGTTAAATATCTTGTCAAACCCTTAACTTTCAGTAGAAGTCTATCCATGAGACCCAGAAAAAGATGGAAGTTCTTCTTTCCTGTTCTTTCCCTTGGTGTCCCAGACACCCAGAGGATATGTTTGGGTGGGAATTTGGCTATTTGAACAAACCATAGCTTTTCTATGACACTAAAACCACAACCGTGTCTGCCCAGAGATATTCTGGCAATTTGGATTACTATCTGAGTTACTTTAGGTCCTTTTGGGTTAGAGGAAGCTGTTCATTGATTTTCAATTAAAAACTCAGTTTTCAAATATGGGGACACCTATGAAGTGGACTTGAAATCGTAACCACCTTACAGCCTCTGGTTAGAGAGGTGCAGGTTACTGATTTTCCCACTGCCAGTGCTGTGCTCTTGTTTGATAGAATGCAGTACTCATTGTGTATTTCCTAACTCAGGAATCTAATTTCAAGAGATAAACCTGTACTTGATATTTCAAAATGTTGATTTTGTTGATTTAATGCAAAAGTGATGGTTTAATTATTTATCAAAGTTAAATGACCCAGTGTGTTAGGCAGGATACCATCGTGGATGGCAGAAATCCACCTCACAATAGCTTAGTCAAAAAGGGAATTTAATCGGCGTGTGTAACTGAAGCCCAGGGGTGTTTGACTTAATCAGGGCCTCATTTAGAGTCTCTGAAGGTGTAATCAGAATTCTGTCCCCACCTCTCAACTCAGCCTCCTTTGCTGTCTGTCTCTCTAATGCAAGGTGGCTGCCAGTACCTTCAGGCTTACTTCCAGTAACTTCTCCTTCCTTCAGAAATATCAGTGTTGGTCTCCCTGTCAGACGGGTCACATATGTCTCTGGGACTAGTCACTGCAGCTGGGAGTGGACTATATCCATTGACCTGGCTCAGACAGCAGCCCCACCACCACTCTGAAGCCACACCTGGAATGGACGGTGTGAAATAGAGGAGGCTAGCTCCCTGCAGGACACCAGAGATAGTCTTTCCCAAAGAATGTCGGCACGCCAACACAAGTGTCTGCTAAGTATTTCTCAAGAGTCGGTCAGTTCTGTATCAACATCTCAGTCGTATGTGCTGAGCAAGATTAAGGCACAGTGTGGGACGCAGGGCTATAAGAAACGAGTCTCGTTTTGGAAACCAGGTTACTAGAAAGCAGTGCATCAAAATGAGTGTCTCCTTTGGAACAGTCACTCGGGGAAGCACCTATTCCAACTTGGTGCCACCTCCCAAAAGATTTTTAGTATTTTTCCTTTGTGGCCTGAAGAGCTCATGGCTTATTCTTTTAAATATTCTCAATATTGGCACAATTGGATGTTAGATTTAATTTTTGGAAAGAACCAAACTCCATTTACAGTCAACTCAAGAGACTGAAGTAAGGAGTCATAGTAAGAAATGTTATATTTGACCCTAAAAATAAAGGCTATAAACATAAGGCAAAGGGATAACTTTTCTAAAATGGTTTTAAAACAGTCTTTGAGTTTGTATCCTAGAGAAGTGTCATTCCGTTTTCCCAGCTATGTTGGATAAATGGATAACCTCCAAAGGTGAAAATTTTGAAGGATGGTATTAGTTTGAGTTTAAAAGATAAAATAACTCTAAATACTTCATTTGTATTGTTTAATTGAAAAATTTTATATATGAGTAAAATTTTATATAACAACAAATCGACAAATGGTTATTTTAATTATTTTAGATGTCTGACTTCTAGTTGAACAAATTTATTTAAGTCATCCTGAGAAGCCTAAGGTTTGGTATTATGGTGTAAATGTAGTTTTTCCCTATCCCCTTGCTTATAGTCTAGAAAAAAGGTTATTTTCCTTTACTTCTTCCATTCGCACATACCTTTCAGTTAAAAAACATTCTTCCTGTGATTGTGGAAGAAGCTGTTATAGATGCTTTAGAAATCATAGACGACTCTAGATGGTTATGTGACTTCAACTAGTTTATTTTGGAAAAATTTTAAAAACTTATCTGGAAGTATGTTTTTCTCCACACCGGGAATTTGTCACAGTACTTAGTCTTAGAGGAGTTCAGAGTTCATGTCCCACCAGTTTTTTCCCCCTCGCCTTTAATGGAGGCACTGAGGATTGAACCCAGGACCTTGTGCACGCCAAGCACGCACTCTGCCACTGAGCTGTGACTCCTCACCCCCAATGCCCAGCTTTTTTTAGCAATAAATATTCACAGTAATATAAGCAGGCTAAGAAAATGAGTTAGGGTTAATGTTTGTCTTACGGAAACCATTTTATGCAACCTTTTCTTTTAAAAAGTAAAAGAAAAATGAGTTTTTGTATAAAATAATTGTTTTATTAACATTTCTGAAATTACATGATTTTTTTAATACAGGATTTTTAACTTGTTTCATATTCAATTCTTAGTGGCCTGTTAGTCTCATTTTCTTTTAAAGCGTTATCCTTTCTTTTTTAACAGCTTTATTGTTTTATAATTAATATGCAATAAACTGCACATATTCAAAAGATATAATTTACTAAGTTTAAGCATACGTATGCCCCCATGAGACCATTACCACAGTCAAGACACAGAACATTGAGTTGTCCTGTCTCCTTAGTCTCCTCCAATCTGTGATAGTTCCTCAGTCTTTTTATGATGTTGACATATTTTTTATGTTGACATTTTTTTTAACATACTAATTTTAGATTTACAGCCAAGCTGCAAATACAGTTTTATCAGTTTCCGTATATCCTCACGCAGCCTCTTTCCCCAGTGGTAACATTTCACGTAACCATAGCACGATTATCAGAACCGGGAAATTAACATCATTATAAACTATTAGCTAACGACCTTATTACGATTTCACCAGTTTTTCCACTACTGTCTTCTTTCTGTTGCAGGACCCTGCATCGCTCTCGTCCTGTCTTGTCTAACAGTTCTATCTTTCCCTATGACCTTGACCTCTGCAGAGTATGGAACAGTTACAGTGTAGATTGTCCCTCAGCTTGAGTTGGTCTGATGTTTTCTCATTCTGGTGACAGTAACACGGTGTGGGGCGTGCCCTCAGGTTCCCTGACAGCACATCCTCAGTGTCATTCCCACAGTCAGCTGTTTCCTCTGCTGATGTTCAGATTGAATTTTACTTCCAGCGCTAGTACTGTGTGTCTTAACCGCACTTTGATCGTGGTCGGTTTCCTCTTTCAATGGCCCATTTTATAAAGTGTCACCTGGGTTTATCCCTGATTTATCCCACGTGTTTTGTGTCTGTGCCGGCGCTGAGAGACAGGTGTGCCGGGACTGGTCTCCAGTTTGGTGCCTCGGTTATTTATGTACAGGTGCCACTCTGTCCACGGGCTGTGCATCCAAGCACTCAACGAACCTCAGATCAAAAACATTTGGGAAAAAATTTTCTAGAAAGTTCCAAAAAGCAACACTTGAATTCACTCCTGGTTGGCAACTATTTACATAGCATTCACAGTGCACTTATGTAGAAGTTACATTGTATCAGGTGTTACAAGTAATCTGGAGATGATTTAAAGTACACAGGAGGATGTGTGTAAGTTATATGCAAATGCGTCCTTTTCCATATAAGGGACTTGAGCACCTTCCGTGGACTTCAGTGTCCGAAGGACGACTGTAGTGATCTGTGGACTGAGAACTGGCAGTGAAGTGTACTTTGTGCAGTTCCTCAGTTAACACACGGTGGTAACCGAAACTTGTGTTGATCGGAGCCTCGCACGGTGAGGCCGGCTGGGCTGTAACCTGTGCACGTGTGCATGCCTGTGTTGACAATGACATTTCCCTATTTTATGGCATTTGGGAAATTAAATGTTTTTTTAAATTTTTGTTACGTAAATAGATGATAAAGCTTTTTTTTCAGTCCCTGGTTACGTGTTCCCTCCCCGCCAGGTCCGCCGGGGGCAGGGGTGGGAGGTGGGCAGGAGGGGAGGGGTCTCTCTGGGGCTGACCCTCTAGGAGCCTCGGTGCTAAGCTGGGCTTGCGAGCAGACCCTTGGCTTAGTTCAGCTCGAAGGAGAGACTCCTGATGCTAAATCACACCGCGTTTCTCCTCTTAGATCGACATAGAGATCAATGGCGACGTGGTGGACCTGCACATGAAGCTGGGCGACAATGGGGAGGCCTTCTTCGTGGAGGAGACCGAGGAGGAGTATGTAAGTCCTGGCGGGTCACGTCCACGTCACAGGTCGTGTTCAGCTGGCCTTCAGCTCCCAAAGCAGAAAGGTTCCGTTTCCATGGCTGGCTGTGTGGGTGCCCGTCGCTGGTGAGGTGGGCTTCACTCTTCAGTGGACAGCTAAGCCGTCAGAGAAGCAGGAGGAGTGAGCGCTTCCCCGCCGGAGCCCAGGGCACGGGTGGGCAGGAGGCCTTCGTACTGGCCCTTCTAGTGAGGGCGGCGCAGTTTTTCTCCGCCTCCAGTGAGCACCTGGGCCCGAGGACAGCCCTTCCACCTGAGTGATCCAGGCGTCTCTGAGGCCATGTCCCTGTGCGTGCATGTGTGACCTTTGAACTTGGGAAACACGTTTGACGTTTTTGTTGGGGACATTATGTCCCGCACTCTGAATAGTCAGGTGTTAGTTTAGTACGCTCTCAGAGTATTTAAATCAGTTGCCCTCTGACCTTTATAAATGATTATTGCATGTTTGGCGTCTTTCAGCAAGAGAGCACAGCCTGCCACTCCCCCCACGTGTCCTCTGGTTTGCGTGGTGGGTGGACTGCCCTTGACTGACTCAAGGTGGATCTTTCTAAGACTTCTTAGAAGGCACAGTTACATCTTTCATCATAAAAATAAAATCTCAGCAGAAGTGGTCAAATTCAGGTTGTTAAGGATATGGAGCTACATTTTGGGGAGTTTTGAAAATGAACTGCCAATTTGATGTCATAAATTCACAAAGAAAAAGTAAACAACAGCAGGATGAGATTGTTTACTGTTTTTTAGTTTAGACTAGAAGCCAGCATCGTCAGGGGCTGGTGTGTAAAGCCACAGTGGAACCTCACCAGACCAGTGTTCCTCCTGGCATCTTAAGTACTTGTTTTTATATGACTGTATTTGCATTTACTTGGCCTAAAGAAAAATTTTCCTGGTTAGAGACAGAGGCCAAAGGCAGAATGAAGCGATCAATGAGTTATCAGCAGAACGAACATCTTTGATGTAACCGTAAGAGCAGCAGCTGCAGTGAGGGAGCCGACGGGGTTACTGGGGGTCCGCCACCTGCCTCTCCTGGTCAGTTCTGATGGTCCCGTTGAAAGCTATGCTCAGCAAGGTTGATTTGGGGAGTGTACACTTTCCAGCCTTTTTTCCTGTTCCATGTATGACCAAATTGGCCATATTTTCTTTAGCATAATGTACTTCTCTTTAAACTTAAAAAAAAATTTATTCAACAACATCTGAATTAGTTGTATGAGTAAAGCACGGCCCCACCCTCCAGAAGTTCACAGCTTAAAGGGGGGTAAACATTTCCAAAACCCATCTGGCTTCCATGTTCTTACTTTTTAGTTTCTCTCTCTGTTCTCCTTTGACTGTATGTTATCAGCACCTTCCAAGTCCGTAGTTGTAGATGGAGCTTTGTCCTTTCAATGGCTGCACAGTATGAGAGTCCACAGGACAGGTGTCCCCAGCGCTAGTCCTTTAATCATTCCCATGCCGTTCAGGGTGCCCCCCGCCATCCCCCCCCCACTCCCGCTTCCATTGGAGCTGTCCCGCGCCCTGCGTTCCCCCATGCTCCACATCTCCCCATGCCCTGCGTCCCCCGGGGTCTCCCCGCACCCCACAGCCAGTGCTCCACGCTGACGCGGCACCTTGGCTGCCCCGCTGTGTTCAGCAGCTTGGGCTGAAATGCACGAAGGCTCAGCTGTGTGCAGCGGCGTAAGACCCGTCCAGGGCAGGGTGGGCAGGGCCTGAGTTCAGTATGACTTTCTTACCTTTAGAGCGAGGGAGGTGTTCTTTCTGCCACTGTGAGAATTTAGATGCTCCACGAACGCATTTGGATTCAGCGTGTGGTGTGTCACAGGCGGCTTTTCTTTGCCCACGTTCTCTTGAAGGAGAAGCTTCCTGCTTACCTCGCCACCTCGCCGATTCCCACCGAGGATCAGTTCTTCACGGATATTGACTCCCCTTTGGTGAAACCAGGTGTACAGAGGGCAGACATCTCACACATCCTGGAAACAGAGGCCGTTTTCACCTCGAGTTCTGTGAAAAAGAAAAAACGGAGGAGGAAGAAATGCAAACAGGACAGCAAGAAGGAAGACCAGGCCGTGTCCCCCGCTGCAGAGGACACCGTGGGTGTGGACCTGAGCTCTGACGACGACAAGGGGGCCCAGTCGGCAAGGTAGGGGCCCGGGCGGGGGCAGGGGCTCCCGTGCAGGTGCCACGTGCAAAACTCGGTCCGGCGAGAGGCTGGTGTTTCTCCTCTGGGCCCTGCAGCCTGCGGTTTGGGCTTGTTTCCCCTCGACAGCCTGCTGTGGGGCCAAGCGGGAGAGGCGTTTTCTTTCCCCCTCTCTGCAGCTCTGCACAACTGGCCATCAGGCATTTTGCTGTGGTGCTAAAATATCATTTGAGGCAGACTGGCCGTGTGTCTCTTTTCATCCAGTAAGTTTCCGTAAACCATGCTTCACACAGAGATCTGAACCAGTGACTCGCCCCTGGGCGGGCGGTTGTGACAGCGGGTGTTTCCCTACCTGGTGGTCTGGTGTCTCATGTGTTCCAAAGCTCAGGGTTGTTGTTTTGAGTTTGTCCAGCAAGTTGAGGAGAAAGGGCTTTGTTTTTAAGTGAGAAGTCTTTTATCACAACTTATTTACCAGCTCAGTAGAAGAACAGCATCGTCTGGGATTTACAAGGCAGCCGTCGGGGGTAGGATGTATATTTTTTTCATTCAAGACTCAGTTTTTAGATGACTGTCTTCCCCCTGTTCAGTGGTGGCCCTGGCCAGACTGCGGTGTGTCAGTGGGGTGGCTCTTTTCCGTGGTGACCGTTGGACAAGAAGCTGCTGCCCACAGCTGACCTTGAATATCCAAACCCCTTATTGAGTTGGGGTGTGGGGAGGACGGCTTTGTGAGGCAGAAACTGGCTGCCTGTGCGCTTTCCCCCTGGCAGCTGGGAAGGGCTCGGGCCCACCTCCTGGGAAGCTGCTCCTGGTAACGCCCCTCGTCGTGGGAAAGGGGGGTGTAATTCTTTGTCCAGTTACGGACACCTAATGTACACCAAGTGTAAACTCTACCTTGATGTCTAGTGTGTGTTTTTATTTACAAAGCTTTTGTTTAAAGTATTGAAGTCAGGGGAAAACTGTAATTAATGTGTTGTTATTATGTAATAGTTACGTTCTGCTAGTAAATAACATGGTATAATAATCCCCTGCTTTTTTTTTTTGCAAAACTGTTAACTTCTTTTCTAAAATTTTAAAATCTGGATTTTATACCCCTTAACAAATTCTTGTGTTTAATAATAATGTTTAACATGTGGAATTGTTTCTTCCTTACCAGCTGTTGTGTTTGTGGTTCTCTCTCACCTCCCCGACCATGAAGGATTTCAGTTCCAACAGAAGGCAGAATCCCCCTGTTAGAACTAAACAACAGAAGACAAAAGGCCATAGTGAGAATGTACTTAAGATTCGACAGATCAGTGTAGACCATACCTATAAAAGTTGATAATTCTGAATAGCAGATTTGGGTAATGTTTGTCAGTATCAACATACTGGCTGGAAAGAGCTTAATTATAAATGTTCAAAACTCTACTTTGATATCATTGATTCCCAGAGAATTTTAACTGATAAAAAGTACCACAAATCTCTTAAAAAGAGACTCTTCCCTTTTGTTCCTACTTTCAGTCTTTCACGGGGTACCTCTCTTTCCCTCCCTGTGAGCACAGACCAGGAGACCCTGTCTAATCTTCCATTGCTTGATTTCCATGCAGTTGAGAAGAATGTAAACAGTTCCTTTAAAAGTTTTGGCTTATTTATAATGTGCAGGTGGGCAGGAAACGTGGTTTTTTGAGAAAATCTCGAAATATAGACACATGTAAATTTCATTTGGATTAGGACCGTGACACTCCCTTAAGTGCCTGAATTCCTGGAAATACTTCTGCTAACTGGAACTCTTTCGAGATCCACCAGGAAAGGCATTGAGGGAACACTTCTGCCTCCGGGGTGTTGCTGACGTGTGTGACCTGTGTCGCAGCACGGTAGAGCAGTGTTTAGAACCCCTGAAACGCCTGCAGCTTCAGTTTATGAAGTGATGCCATGTCTAAAACGTGCAGAATCACCTGCTGAAGTCATAGGGGTCACCGTTTGGGAGGAATTGTAAGTGGGTGTGTCTAAGAGGTACTAGCGCGCGCCTCCCTTTCCAGACTGTGCAGAAGCCGATGCAGCCCAGTCTGGGGGCGTCCTGCTTGCTGATTTGGGCGCAGGGACAGATGCCTGCCAGCTTCTCTCTGAGCCCGAGCCTGCTGCCTGGGGACAGGCCTGTCAGAAGGCACAGAAACTAGGTCTCAGCAGAGTTTTCAGGAGCTTGGTGGTTTGCCTTTTCTGAGGTTACCAGTGAATCATAGGTGCCACTTGAAGGAACTCTTCCCTGAGATTTCCTTAGACTAGGAGCTGCTGCATTGTATAGCCAGCAGAAACTGACTTAAACAGAGATGAAATGTGACAGTGGCGAGATTTGAGGTGTTGCTGAGCTGAGAGGAGACGGGCCGCCACACATCCCATTGCGGGACGGCGGCCTCGGAGCCCCTCTGGGCCTTCATCCCTTCATCTGAGAAGTAAGAGAATTACACTCCGTGGTTTGCCAGGCCCTTTCCAGCTCAGCATCTGGGTTCTAAAATAATTGGGAAGAAGATATTTACGGTCAGAAGCGTTAAGAGCATGTTAAACAGCACATTAAAGAATCTGAGAGAAGACTAGGAAGTCAAGTGCTTTCTCAGTGGTGGGATCTGCAGATCACGTGGGTTGGGCAGTTCTGGCTTTCAAATAGCTGCTCCATAGCCCCTAGCAGGAAAGAAATTTTGTTTACAGAGAAGATACCTAAAATAGGTTTTATTTTATTTTGATTGATAAATAGCATTCTATTTAAACTCTTTACTTTTCAAGAATTTTATTGATAATAGAATTAGGGCGAACTGAGGCCCTTTGAAGGCGGCAGGAGAAACATGACGTCATTCTTTAAGGCAGGTGGGTGAGGAACAGCCAGAAGAAACTCACTGGTGGAAAGGAGAGCTTTCATCCTCCCAGGGCTCCGTGCAGACGGCGCTTGGTGAGCCTCCCCCCTTCCTAAGGACGCACTGTGAGCTCAGGTGTAGCCCGGAAGCCTTGGTTGTCGTTCCAGGGCATGGATGGCTGCACTTCACCTGGGCGTGCGTAGCCTCTGGAAGGGAAGAGCTTTTTCCCGCTGGACAATGCCGTAGCTCAGTCCTGAGAGCAGGTGCGCAGACACGCCAGGAATACGTAGAACACGCAGCGGTAGCGAAACGGGAGGATTACGACCACACCATCCGAAAAGAACCTCTAGTTTTCATCCACCGAAGCAGACTGACTGACAAAGGTACACCTGGGAGCTAAGGGCAGGGGGCCTGAGATACTGACCTGTAAGTGGCTTCCGGAGAACGTCCGTGTCAGTCTTCCGGCTCCCGGCCCTCCCTCCCTTCATCCCGACACCAGGGACAGGGAGATGTTGCCTGGCTCCCTCCCGTCCTGTCACGAGGTAGCATCTACGGGAAACTTCCTGCATCCAGAGCGAGCTTAGGTCATAGTCACACTGAGACTGAGCGGCTGATCCTGGCGGGGCCTGGACCTCACTTGTGGTCCTCAGCAGCCCCTCTGTCTCTACGTACGATGCCGTCCCTCTGACTTACCCATGTGAGTGATGCAGGCTACTTACTGTAACTCTTTGCTGATTTGTGTCCCTCCTTTTTAAAAGTGAGGTATAGTTTACAAAGAATGATACACTTAAGTCTTAGGTATGCAGTTCAGTGAATTTTGACATCACGTAACCTCTGTTGGCTTTTGAATGCAAAAAATAATTGTTCTACACAGTCAGGCTGACTTTGAAGCCATGAGTCACGGTGCCTCTGTGGAGGCCCAGGTGCTTCTGCACACTCGTCATGAACTTCACAGCTGGACCCCCGTGTCCCCCATGCCCTGGCCTGCACTGGGACATCTGCCCTCCTGCTCGTCCTCAGTGTTTGGCGCCGACGTGGGTGTTTATCCTGTGTTTCGGCCTAAAGAGTCAGTGTTCACGCCGCGTCTCACACCCTCGGTCCCGTGCTGTGTCATGAGTCGCCCTGTCGGGGTCAGGCGGCCTCGCTGGCTCCCTGCCCTCGGGCACGTGCACAGGGCCCGTCTCAGGCAGTGATCACAGGCCTGAAGGCACCTCGACACTGGGAACCTTCTCCATCGTTCTGCGGGGTCCCAACTGCTGGGCTCTGCCTTTGCCAGGATCCGCCCAGAAGACTGTGTCATCCCTCCCTGGGCTTGAGAATTCCTCGTGGTGCCTGAGCGCCCTCTTTTCCAATGTTTTATTACATCCAGTTTGCTGTACTCTTCTTGGCTTACCTTTTTACACTTCAGTGAAATATGTTCCAAAATTAAAATATTTTTAATAAAAACTTTCTGTGGCATTTACATTGTTCTTTTCAAACTGCTTTCTAATGTATGAGCAGTGATGGGGGAAGCTGTGCTGTCCTTTCAGACTGGGCAGAAAAGGACTGATCATAGCATCTGAGTTCCCTTTCTGACTTTTATCATTTGAATTTCCTCTTGTAAGAAACAGACTATTCTTATATGGATTTCAGCCTTTTTCAAGTATGTGTTTTTCCCGTTGAGTGAGGTGGTGGCAGGTTTCATCTTCTAGAGAAGGCAGGCAAGGGTTAGGACGACCTTAATTAGAAAGTGCGGGTACGTTCAGGACAGTCACGCGTCAGAGGCGGTGGTAAAGCAGAGCCTGTTAAACTAGGATTTAAAGGAAGAAGTATCACAAATAAGATGGTTCCCAGCCCTGTTTCTAGTCTAGCAATTAAGTGACAGATATTCTCATTTCATATGTAGTGTCTGTCCTGCTGGAACATTGAATTTTCTGCAAGAAGCTCTTAAATTTGTATAGGACGGTGTTTTACGCTTTGCAGAGTTTTTCTTTCACTTTTCTTTATACTTCTGAGACCTTTCAATGTGATTCACCACATAAATCTCACATTGACTCTGAAGTAGACAGGACAAGTGACAAATTTCCAACTAAAGATGAAAAACCAGGGCCCCGCATTGCTTCTGCAGGATGTCTTCAGGGTTATATGGCAAGTTAGTTATATTAACTCTGCAAATTCATGAAAACCAAAGATGAGTTAATTAGAACCCTGTTAGCCTTAGTTCCGTCTGCCACCGCTCCCTGGGGTGTGAGTGCATATGTCAGACTTTCCTGTCCTCACAGCCCATGGCGTGCAGACTCCAAGTTAGAGAAAGCTCTCAGGTAGTACTCGGGCCAAACCAGCAGGAACAGAAGCTTGAGGTTTTTAAGAGTATTTAGGGTATTTTGATTTTTGAGCCAGAGCTTTTGTCTCCAGCTGTTTGCTTGCTTGTTCTCTGTCATACGCAGAAATACAGGAGCTTGTTTTGCATCCAGCTTACTTACTAGCTCTTTGACTTTGGGTGGTTTACCAAACTCCTCCGGAGCCTCGATTACCTGATACCTCAGACAGGATTTCACTACCTCCGATTTGTAAGGATTGAATTAAATACGCGTAAAGTCTTAGCTTCTTCTAGCCTCCGAATCAGTTACCCCTGATGGGTGTAAAAAGGAATCTGTAATCACATCTCCTTTTCTGTCCCTCCGCTCCATCCCGTGTGTGAGGGGGGATGGCAGTGTGCACAGGGTGGCGTTACTGAGCCCCTCTCTTCATGTTTCCCTTCTAGGAGAATGAGTTATTAACTCACTCAGCTTCCTTCGTTTGTGCCATTCAGACAGCATGTCAGAGCTGGGGGCTGTTTTCAAGCCGACGCAAATGTCATCGTTCTGCCTGTCTGTCTTCTTCCTTCCACAGAGGATCTTCCAATGTTTCATTAAAGGAGGAGGAATATAAGGAGCCTCTGCTATTCCATGCAGGGGACCACTACCCCCTATCTGATGGAGACTGGTCCCCGTTAGACAGGTAAGGATTCTTGAAATTTCTCAACTTCTTAAAGGAAAGATACATTAAGTAACTTTTCTGTGCACAGTGATACTTCCATTTCCCTCACACAAGTAGAGGGGCTGAATGTGTGCTTTTAGCATGAACATGAACCTTTCCTCTCAGTTACTATTTTGTTCCTAAACTTGATCTGTTCTCACAGAGTTGGCCAGCGTAGACCCACGTAAGCAGCATAGAATTTGACTCCTCACGGTTCTTTTTAGTGTCAGCTACCGACCGTAACTGCAATTACTCCTGTGAAGAAACGTGCACCCTCACTTGGGTTCCGGTCCAGTTTCTGTCTGTATTAATGTTAATTTAACCCATCTTTCCATGCGAAAGTTTCCTCTCCTGTCAGATGACCTTTCTCGCTGATTTCTTGTGAGAATGAAATGGGATGTGTATTATTTAGGACTCAGCAGGTCCATTGTTTTTATTGAAGTACTCAAGTGGGAAAATGGCATTTACACCTGCAGGATAAAGTTGATATATTCAAACATGCATTTCGTTTCATCTGTCAAGCTCAGCGAGACTGAAGCTCTGGACTTTAAAGTCATCACCTTTCTTTGTCCCGTGTTTGCAGCCCCTACTCCCCGCCGGCGTGCCCTAAGAGCGACTCGGAGCTGGAGGTGAAACCCGCGGAGAGCCTGCTCAGATCCGAGTCCCACATGGAGTGGACGTGGGGCGGGTTCCCGGAGTCCACCAAGGTAGGAGGGCCGCCTGCCCACCCAGTCGAGGGCGTGGCTGCAGGCTCCCGTGAATGTCCGTGCTCGTGGTGCCCTCGTGTGGCCACACGAGTGCATCCAAGTTACCGTGACTGCATTTACAGTGGAAGGGCTCCAGCATTGTTTTGTGTATTTCCACTTAGTATAAATAATGTTGATTGTTAATTTGACATTTTAATCATTTTTAAAATACCTAACGGAAACTAGAATTTCCACTGAAATTTTAAATAGGAAATTGATTATGGAAGCTTTTTTGCCAGCTCGTAATGAAAAAAGAATTGGAAAGATGCATTTCATAAGAGAAAAAGATATTTAGACCTCCTCTTCAGGTTTTAAAAATACACATTTTGTTTATATATGTGACTGCATTGAGATTTGACTGCCCGCTTTTACATTGTCTCATCAGAGCCTTGATTCAGTCCAGACAGGGCTGCATTTTCAGAGTACTCTCATCTTCTCCCTCGAGGTGTCGGAGTTGTCGTGCTTCCTGTCTCCTCTAGTGCTTAGCTCTTTGTGGTATAACAGTTACAAATGTCACTCTTGTAGATATGATACTGAACAAAACGCAGTTAGTTTTTCCCACTCCCTAATTGTGACATATTTCACACATCCAAGAGATGTATTTAGTGAATGTGTGCTAAGTTACAAATGAAATTAACACACGCGCCTGCATCCAGCCTAAGAAATGGGTCATAGCAGACACCTTTGAAAGTAGTTTCATTTTTAAACAATTCAACTCTTTCAGGTCAGCAAGAGAGAGCGAGCTGACCATCAGCCTAGGACAGCAACGATCACTCCGTCAGAAAACACCCATTTTCGGGTCATCCCCAGCGAGGACCACTTGCGAAGTGAAGTTGAGAAGGATGCGTCCGTGGGGGAGGCGCTCTGTACCGTCGTGAAGCCCAAACCCAGAGCCCCGGGGAAGCAGGTGAGCGGAGCGGCCTCCTCGGAAGAGCCCCTGGAGCTGCCCCAGGGCCCAGCTCCGCCGGAGGCCGACCACCCTCCTGCCCCAGCCTTCACGGAGGCACCCTCAGAATCCAAGCCAGTTGCCAAAGTCGACTCGCCATCCAGGAAGAGAGGTAATCACTGGTTCATGGTGGCCCCAGCTGCTCTTGCTCCTGGTGGTGATTTATTCCCGGGTTTCAGGGCACACGCGCTAGCCGAGCTGCCTCTGTTGGTGCCCCGATCAGGTCCTGCCGCGCAGGATGGGGGCCGCTTAGTCCCGCTCCCCCAGAGCAGACTTGAACCCCCCTCTCCCTGCCGCGGCTGCTCAGGCCCCTGAGAAGCGTTTACTGAAAAAATTAGCGCATTTAAATCAGTCAATGAGTAAAATTCACCCCTTTAATGACTAGGTATGTCCATAAAGTGAAGTAGAATCCTAAGCAATTATGTTTAACAGCGAGATGCTTGCACCTGAAACGTCTGGTTAGTTGAGGCCAAATCAAGTACTTTTGTTACAATAATACGGGACATAAATGCACGCTAATCATTAGCGTGCATCCTCTTCTCTCGTTATTTCTCTCTGACGAAGGTAGAGTCCAGCTCTTGGCTCAGTAGCTCTTGGTTTTGAAAAGAAGGTTGTGAACACCAGAATGTTCTCACTGTTTAAAAATACAATGTTGTCCTTTGATCCTCGGAACAGCGAGAGCCAGGACGCAGGCTTAGCACAGGCTTCCCTAAAAGCACGCCTGGTCACGGACAGCTAAATACTTGCTGCACTTAAAAAAGAAATGCTAACACCATGGGTTAGGTGGTCACACACTGACTTCAGAGCCAGTGTGTGTAAAATAAAAGGGTTTGACTGTCAAGGGTATTTGTGGCCGCTGTGACCACCTGGCTGATGCTAAACTCGGTCCCTGCTCCTTCACAGCTCAGCTTGTCTTTGCAAACCAGAAGCCCGTGTCCCCGTGTTCTGCTCTGAGAAATGTGAAGGGGGAAAACG